CAGGCTGCTGGGAAATGATGTGCGTGCACCCTGCAGGCTCAGAAGTCAGAGTGCAGATAAGGAGGCAGGGAGTGTCTTTGGGTTTGGTTTTGAAAGGCCAAAGTTAGAGAGTGGGAAGATGACACTCAGTTCGAACAGCCCAGCCCTGATTGTTATCTCCAGCAGAGGAGTTTGGTGTGAAATCAGCTTTCAGCCATGATGCCGGGGACCAAAGGACACAGAAATGAGTCACCAATACACCGTGGGGTTCCTGGGGCAAGCAGGGTCTTCAGCCAGCTTGGACAGGAGAACTACCAAGGGTTCAGCATCCCAATGAGAAGGCAACAAAGATCCTTGCCCATGTAGTCTGGAGAGAAGCCATCATCACAGACAAAAGCTTTTTGCCCTTGTTTTAGGAGCTTTGGGAAAAGCTCTGCTATGGGGTCTGAACCTGCAACCCACTGCAGACCTCAGGGCTGCTGTTTTGGGTGGAAAACCTTTCTTTTTGGGAATAGCCTTCCCACTATGGGAGTGAAGGACACCCACAGCCCACAGCTCAGCGCTGGGAAGGGGGAATGCCCCAGCCTGGCCACCAGCCTTGCACCCCAAAATCAACAGGTGGCCCCTGCAGATTTACAGAGTAGCAACCCAATTCCATTGGTTTTGCTGAGATTTTGGTTTCTGGGCTGCCTTAACCTGGTGATGTGGATGCATCCCTGCTGGTCACTCGTGATTGATGTCTGTGAATTTAGGACTTGGCTGTGACTTGGTGCATTCTCCCCTGGACAAGGACAACACCATCTGTTCCATACTATTTCTATATGGTTTCAGCTCCCAACAGCACTTGGGAACAGAAGATGAGCACATCCTCACAGCCTTTGGGCAGGCAATGCCTTGGGGGCTGCAAGCCCACTCCCACCCCTTTGACCACCCAGGTTTCAGGATGAGGCTCCGATCCTTGTGGGGTTTTTCAGCCTCAAATAGAAACCACCACTTTTTGAGGAAGATGTCTGCAGGTTTGCAGCTGCTCTCCCTGCACGAGTGTGGGTTGTGGCCACGATGACTCAGAGCCACCTCTTCACTGGGACAGGCGAGGGTGGACAGGTCTCAGACCAGGTTCAATAGAAACCATCTCCTCCAGCAGTGGGGGAAGTCCCAGGTGGCCACAGGGACAGCAGGGACCTTGTCAGCCCATAGGAAGGAAATAGCATAAGCGGGGTGTGCATTAAGTGCTTATCTCACCATCAGCCTCAGCAAGGTAATGGAAACACTGCTCTGTTCCAACCGAGACAGAGTTTTTAAAAGGAGAAGAATAAATCAAACAAATCCTTATGGCTTTATGGAAAGCAGACCCGACCTGTCAGAGTGGCTTTGATTACAGGCATTATTTTGGATGGCCCAGCTGCTGCAGCCATCCTGTCCCGCAGGCACTGCACTTAGATCTCCGTCCCCTGGGGTTATCGATCAAATGGAATGAGGAGAGCTGCAGCATCAATAAAGCTTGGGTGAACACACTGGAAAGAGCAGCATTGCTGAATTCTGCTTAGTGCAGGTGCCCTAATCCAGCACCAGGCTCAGGGCAGAAGGAGGCTGCAGGGATGGGAGCAGCATCCTCAGACTTTCCCAACCCAGAGCATCCCATGCGGGAGGTTTTTGGCAATGGGCCTTTCCCAGTCCGGTGAAACTTCTTCATTTTCCTTATGTTTCTCTTTCTTTTCCTTAATGCAGGGAAAATACCATCACTCAGGAGTTATTTCCTGTTTGGAAACAACTTGAACTGGAGAGGGTCCAGCAAAACTCGTCTGAGATTTCCCCTTGGCCACATCCAGAATAATCTGTGCTACTGAAAGCAGATCCTGGGGCAGCACCGTGCCATGCTGTCACCAGGGTGGGAGTGGAGGCTCGATGTGGCTTGGCAGTGAGGTTTCAGTCTGTCCTGCTCAGCCAGACGACCTCAGGGTGTGGGGATGAGATGGGGGAAAGGAATCCAGGGAGGGAAAACAAAGACAGGAGCCTACACCATCCCAGCACCATCTGCTTCCTTCTGCTCCCTAGGCTGGGACAAGATGGAAGTGGAGAAATTAAACCAGTGTTGGGCTGATGGTGGGATGGGACACAGAAACACAGAACATCCCTTTCCTTGCACACTGGGATATCCTACAGTCCCTTCAACTGCACCCTACACAGATACACTCCATCACAGCAGTCTGGAAGATTTCTGCAGCCAAAAGCTTGAGACTGATTTCTGGGAAATAGGTTTGGAGAAGAGAAACCAGAGGGACGCAGAAGTACTAGTGGTCCCACCATGGAGGAGGCCACAGCATCCTGTGGGGATGATCAAAGCCTTGATCAGTATCCACAGACCTGAGATCTGTGCCAGCAGGGACTCACATCTGTGCACATCTGCCAGCATTTGGAGCTGTCTGGACTGGAGGAGAGGGGGATTTTGGACAGCTGTGTGCAGGCAAAGACCACTGGGGAAGCTCAGTCTAGTTTTTGCTATTTCCCAGTTCATCGTGGCCAAGAACATGAGCTGCTTCTTTGGCCTTGGGGATAGGAAGTGGAAACACCTGCCCAGCCTCACCCAGTCCCACAGGGCTCCAAAGTCCCCTGAATTAGCACAGGGCCATGCATGTGCCTTCTGCAGCTGAGCAAAGGCTATCTACTTTTTAGTAAATTTATTTTATAAATAGGCTATTTTATTTTTATTTTTAGAAGAGAGTGTCAGGACTGGGATCGGCCATTTGCCTCCCCACTGAGACACAAATCAGTGGGATACAAACCATTACTGTGCTCCCATGGACTGGCAGCTGCTGCCAGCTGTGATGTATGTTGGGCATGTCTGGCTCCAGACACTGTCCTGTCCCATGCACCCCTCCATGGCCATACAACCTGTCTAGGGATTGGGGTGCAGAACCAAACTAGGGGAGCAACCTAGCCACCAGCCCCAATATTGCAGGAAGAAGTTTAGAAAATCCCAAGCCCCTCAGAGTCTGAGAGCAGGTTTTTCCTCCTCAGACTGTTCTGGGAGGGGAAGGATATCACCCACTCTCTGTTCTTTGGGACATGTCCAGTGACCAGGTCCTCCCCCTGTCCACGCAACTACTGATCTCATGGGACCCAAGCACTGCCTCTGCTCTATAAAAGAAGCCCAGCAGTCCCACCCCAAGCAGAAGGGAGAGTGAAGCAGCCCACAGCCCTCCTACAACCCGACATGGCCAAGGCATCTGGGGCCTTCTGCGTCCTCCTCCTCCTCACTGTGCTGTGCTGCCAGAGCCTGGCCCAGAGTGAGTGAGGCCACCTGCGGGACCAGGGATGGGAACACCAAGGAGAAGGGAGGGGTGCATGGGGTTTGCTTCATGCAAGGAGGCCGGGATGGGAACTGGGGGCCTCCAGGCTGAGCTGGGCTCTCATTCTCCCCCCAGGAGCCCCAGCTGTGCCTGACAAGTGCTGCTTCAACTTCCATACCAGAAGAATCAAAATGGACAACATTGTCGCCTGTTATGCCACCAGCCCTCAGTGCCCACACCGAGCTGTGATGTGAGTATCCCTGCCCCCCTGGTGACATCAGCATGGCAGTGAGTGGGTGCTGCTGGAGGACTCGCTGCCCTCAGATCTCTCCTGGGTTAGGGGACTTAAATCCATTTCTTCTCTCTGCACAGCTTCAAGGTGAAGAATGGCAAGGAGATCTGCACCCCAGCGGACAGGATGTGGGTGAAGAGGTACCAGCAGAGGTTCCAGGTCAGCTCTTACTCCATCCCCAGCTAGAAGAGCCACAGGAGCAGCACAGGGCCCTTGGAGTCAACCTCATCACAGAGATGGGGAGACCAGGAGCAATGCGAGTCCTCCCCATCTCAGCCCTGAGCTATACGGATAAGCAACACTCACCTCCACGTTTTCTTTCCATTCATCCCACTGTGAGATCCTGGAGCTCTTAGCATCACTGTGCACACATTTCCTATCTCCTGCATCTCTTGCTGTTCTCCACCCTGAGACCATGGCTGGACTGGGTCTTAGGCAGGGGGTGACTGCTTTGCATGTCAGTGTCACTGTGCTCCTCGGGCTTTTTGCAGTGCAGTGGTTAATAGGGAGTAGTATCACTAATGTTTCTTGTACAACACTGTGAACAGAATTAAACTCTATCTTGTGTATGCAAAAAACATCTGGCTGTGCAAGTGTCTGGGGAGCAGAAGAGTTCCTGCTCTTGGCTTGCTTTGGGTGAGAAATGTCAGCTGTGAGAGCTGAACTCAGTAAAGGGCTGGGAAGAGATGATGTTGTGGTCATTCTTCTCAATTCCTTTTTGGGAAGGATCTGGGAGTACATAGGATCAAGCAGTGTCCACATGGGACCTGGGGAAGCCACCTGCAAAAGGGGCAAAAGGTGAGCACATCTGTGGGTGCCAAACCTGAAAAGAGGGGTCTTCCCTTGCTCTTCATCAGCCATCCCCAGACAAAATTCAACACGAGCTGCACAGTTAGGCCCTGGTAACAGCTCACACACCAGGGTTGCCATGAGGAGATGCAATGGCCATGGCCACTGACATGGTCACTGTGATGGGCACAGCCACCACCATGGTTGCCATGACAAACATGGCCACAATTACAGGTATAGCCAGCACTATGGGCACCATGATGGACACGGCCACCACTATGGGCAGCACTATGGGCACAGCCACCACCACCATGGGCAGCACCATGGGCACCATCATGAACACAGCCACCACTACGGAAAGCACCACAGGCACAGCCAAAACCATGGGCATTTGGCACACAGCCATGGGGTCTGGGGTGGTCTGGCCTGAGCTTGGATGCAGTCAGTGCCAAGCCAGTCACCTCGGCTCAAAATTGCAAGAGCAGCATCACAGTCAGGATGAGTTTTGAGCATAAGATCACCCAGGTCTTCAGTGAGCATGACTATCATCCTGTGTGGTTTGTCGGTGGCAGCAGCTGAACCCAAAATAGACTGCAGGCTGCTACGCATTGCAGCAGCATAGGGCTGTGCTCGCCAGACTTTCCAGAAGCCCTAAAGCACCACAGGCAGGGTGTGAAGAGGGGCTGGAACAGCACCAGCCAGGGAGAGGAATTTCCATTCCCCAGTTGCCCTTTAGTAACAGCAACGACCGGTTCTTCCCCTGGGGAGAGTCCAGAGCTGTCATGGAAATCCTGGTCAGGGGCTATATAATGCTGAGGTACAAGCAGGTAGCACTCAGAAGCACCAAACCAGCAAGAGCTACTGGATCCTGGAGCTGACAGACATCCAGATTGGACATGAAGGTCTTCTCCTTGGCCATGGTCACTCTGCTGCTCGCTGCTGTCTGGACTGAAAGCTGGGGCAAATCCTGTAAGTACCAACATGGAATCTTAACCCATGTCCTGCTGCAGGTTTGGGGTTGGAGATGGGGGGATAGGTTCAGTCCCTGCTTCTGCTGTGGGCTTAAGGTGCCAAGGGGTCAACACTGCCTTGGAAGATGTTTGTTAATGACAGCTCATTCCTGGGGATTTCTTGTCAGAGAGGAATATGGGGTCAAACCTGCAGAGCTGGAGACATGGCAGGGATCCTCATAGTGGGGGAAATGGCTGGGGTCAGGCATGGGACAGCACCAACCCCTTCCTCCTCTCAGTCCGCAGCTCCTACAGCTCCTGCTGCTACAAGAACATGTTCATCCAGAGGGAAATCAACACCTCGCTCATCCGCAGCTATCGGGAAACACCTCCAAACTGCTCCCGCAGAGCCGTTATGTGAGTCCCTGAGGCCCCAACCTTCATTCTCAGCCTTCCTCCCCCAACCTCCCATGCCCAGCCTTTCTCCACCACCCTTCCTCCCCAGTCTTCCTTCCCACCACACTCCTCGCCCTCAGCCACCCTGCCTGTGTTTTCACTTCCCACTATGAATGTCCACAATAAGCTCCTCTCAGGGTGCTATATGCTGAGTTCTATCCACATGTTCCTCCTCCCCCCAATGCTTTATTTCAAATCTTCCAGCAGCCCCTCATTTCAGCAATAAAAATGGGAAGAAAACCAAGGTTTAGAAGGGATTTGAGGCTTCTAAAAGTCCAAGGTTTGGGTGATGCTAGGAATGATGCTGCAGGCTAGGGAAGGACACTCCAGCTAATCCAACCCCTCTACCCACAGCGTGGAGCTAAAGAAGGGGAAGAAGTTCTGCGTGGACCCTGCAGAGGGCTGGTTCCAGCAGTACCTGCAGGGAAAGAAGCTGAGCAACGCCTCAACGTGAGCCGCCACCAACACCAGCTCTATTTCTGTGTACCCTGCCATGGCCTGTCAGTGCCTGTAATGACTCGTTAACTCATGAAGCCAGGTCTGCTTTGTTCCCATCTGTCCCACTTCACACTACTGTACAGTTCTACTGAGATTTAATAAAGCTACTTGCTCTGACCTGCACTGTGGCTGTAGTGAGATATGAATCCTGCACTGGGAAAGAGAGGTTGTGTTGGGGTTTGCCTCACTGTGGGAACCTGGGAACAGCCCAGAAGGCATTAGGAAATGTGAAACCAGAATGGTGAAGGTTCTGTATGCCCTCCAACAGTGTAGACCCTGCCTGGGTGTGGGTTTAAGGGTGCTCTGCACAGCTGTTCACTCCATGGGATGTTGATTTTGATGTTGAATGGCAATGGAGAAATATTGGGTTTGAGGGGATTCACTGCAGGGTCAATGCAGAGCAGACAGGTGGGTTTCGTGAGGCATCAGGAGCTGAACAGTCCCCACTGGACACTAAAGCAGAAACTGAAAGCAGTGGCCCAGTGGCCAGCACTTCCCCTTTCATAGCTTTATTTCTCCATTTCAGCAAAACTGCAGGAATTCTGACATGATTTCCTAGTTATTATGTACTCATCTTTATTCCTTGAAACCCTGTGCCCGCCCAGCAGCTTGGGGGATAAAAGTGGCAGCATAGCAGAGGCTGGGCACTGTGCAGAGCAGAACCCTGTAAGCCACCCAGCTCCAACCCTGCTCACCGTGCCAACGTCCCACAGCACCATGAAGGGCCCCGCAGCCATCCTGGCCGCTCTGCTCCTCCTGGCCCTCTGCTCCTCGGCTGTGGCCCAACCAAGGGAGACAGGTATGGCTGTATGGGACCTTAATGTGGGCTGTGGGGGACTGCCACCAGTGCTGGGGCTCAGCCTTGGAGACGGAGCGTCTAGGGGTGTCCTTGGGGGATATGACATAAGGGGGCGATTGTGTGATGGGAGATCCTTGTAAAGTCCCTTGTAAAGGTAGGGCATCTGTGGGGTCTCACCAGGGCTCTCTTTCCTCACAGATGGCCTGACCACAACCTGCTGCATCTCCTACATTCAACGTCCCATCCCACGCAACGCCATTGCCTCCGCCTACATCACCAGCAGCAAATGCCACCTGCCGGCAGTGGTGTGAGTATCCAACCACAGCTGGGGTGGTTGCAGTGTGATACCAGGACAGTATCCCACAGCTCTGGGTGTGGTTGGGAGGGGACAAGAGTGTGGCTGTGGACATGTGGGTGCTGTCTGCAGGACCAGTCACTGTGTGAACCTAACGCTGGTTTTCTCCCTGCAGCCTGGTCACCAAGAAGGGGAAGGAGGTATGTGCAAACCCCGAGGAGCCCTGGGTGCAGAAACGCCTGGAACTCTTCCAGAACGAAGAAAACTGGCCTTTTATGGAATCATAGAATCATAAAATGGATGGATTGGAAAGGACCTCGCAGCACACCCAGCTCCAGCCCCTGCTCTAGGCTCTTGCCTCCGCCACCAAGTTCAGACTGCCCAGGGCCCATCCAAGCTGGTCTTGGGCATCTCCAGGCCTGGGGCACCCACAGTTTCCCTTCTATCCGTGCCACCAATGCTAAGGAAATGAAAATACAGAGATGATTCAGAACACACCAAAATGCTTGCCAAGGAGTCAGGAGCTCTGATGCCTAAATAAAATTCTTGCATTTGAAAACACTTTGTCTCCCTGTGAAGCCCACCACCAAGCAGGACAGCTCCATGGAGGCAGCCAGGTTGCAGATTTAAGGATACCCTGCACAGCTGTTCCCTTCATGTGGTACAGATTTGTGTTGATGTCAGATGGCAATGGAGAAAAATTGGGTTTGAGGGGATTTGAGCTTTGTTTTTCTTCCCCAGCAAAGAGCAGGGAGTTAATGCTGATGGCTGCAGAAGGAGGGGTGCCTGATGGCAGTGAGGCTATCAAGTGGTCAGCGAATTGCTGTCAGGGATGAAGGAAATTGAATCACGTGTGTTAGGCACTCGTCACCAAATTCCCTAGAACCAAGAAGTGCTTGAAAGCACAGCTGCTTTTGAGTTTGTGGAGCGTAGTGAGGATGGAGCAGCCTTCATCCACCCAACTCCCATCAGGGCTGCAGCCATGGAGCTCCACATCCCAGCCTGGCTCTCATTGCAGGGTCAGTGCAGAGCACCAGGGTTGGTGTCACATGTGCCCCACTGGGCACTAAAACAGAATCTGAAAGCAGTGGCCGTATGGCTGGTGCTTCCCGTTTTTGCAGCTTTATTTCTGCAGGGGTTCTGAAATAATTTCCTAGTTATTATGCATTCATATTTTTCCCTTCACACCCTGTACACGCCCAGCAGCCAGGGGATAAGAGTAGCAGTGCAGCAGGGACTGAGCATTGTGCAGAGCAGAGCCCTTACACCAGCCGGCTTCAGCTCTGCTCCTCGTGCCCATGTCCCACAGTACCATGAAGGGTTCTGCAGCTGCTCTTCTCCTCCTGGCCCTCTGCTCTTTGGCCGTGGACTCTTCTCCTATTGGCAGTAGTGGTAAGTTGGGTTTTACATTTCCCTCTTGGGACAGGAGACACTGTCCCTACTTGGTAGGGTTCTGGGATCTGGAAAATCCCTGTCCCCATGGATGGGACCAGCACTGTGCTGAGTGTGGGCAATTGCCAGCAATGCTGGTGTTCAGCTTTGGAGATGGGGTCTTCTGGGGGATATGACATGAGTTGGGGGGTAGCTGATGGCAAATCCTCAGGGAGCCCCACATAAAGCATCTCACCACGGCTCTGTTTTCCTGAACCCACAGATGACATTCCCTTAAGCTGCTGCTACAGTTATGTGTCACATCCGATCCCTTACAGCCTCATCGCCTCTGTCTATGCCACCAGCAGCACCTGCTCCCAGCCAGCAGTGATGTGAGTATCCAGCCAGGGCTTGGAGTACAACATCACAGCTGTGACACACAGCTGTCCAGGAAGGGATGGCAGTGTGGGTGGGGACATGTGGCTGCTGCCATGTGGACCCAGCACCCCATTGCCCCAGTGGTGCTTTTCTCCCTGCAGTGTGGTCACCAAGAAGAAGAGGGAGATATGCGCAGACCCAAAGCAGTTATGGGTGCAGGCACTCCTGGAGCTATCCAGAAGAGAAAAGCTGCTCTCCCACCGCTGTGAAGGAAGTGAAAACACTGAGATGATGCACAAAACATCAAGTGCTTGTTAATGAATCAGGAGCTCTGATGCCTAAATAAAACCCCTTGCACTAGAAAATTAGGGATTATATGGTTTATTTGCGAAACCATCTTCAGTCCACATCCTTCCATGACCTGTGAGTTGATGTATCACCAACTCCCTGATGGAGCTCATTGCCACCCATCAAAGCCCCATGGGGAGACGTGGGCATCCCAAAGCCACCCCTCAGGGCCCACTTTATTATTTCACACCCTTTGTCTTTTCTCTACCAAATATCCAGCACACAGCTAGACAGAAACATAACGCGATGGGGCAGCAGATGGCTGATGGGCCGGGCCCCAAGGCTTCTGAAGACGGGGATCCATCAGGCTGCCGGCCTGCATCCATCCTGCAGGTCCTTCTGCTGGCAGCACCGGCCGACACAGCAGGTGAAGCTGCTGCAACAGGAACAGCCCAGTGCGCCATCTGCTTGGAGGCGGTGGAGGGATGCCCCAGCTACAACACCCTCATCTGTCCCTCCTGCACCAGCGCGCAGTTCCACCGCCACTGCATCCAGGTAGGCAGCATTGCCCCCAGACCACAACAGCATCGTCACCCAACCCTGCCACCCTGCCATCATCCCCAGCCTTGGGGCAACACGCACGGACCCCCAGCTCACGTTCTGCCTTCCCCAGGGCCAAGCTCTGCGCGCTGCCCTGCACCACTTCCGCTGCCCGCTCTGCCAGGACATGCAGGCCTTCCAGGCAGAGATGTTTCGCCTCGGAATCAAAATCCCAGACAGGTCAGCACCCACGGCCCTGCCACCGCACGGCCCCCCACCCTACGACCTCCCCTCGCACTGCACAAACCTGTCCCTGGCTCCCTCCCACAGGGATGCAGCCTGGGAGGTGGAAGAGGGCGCCTTCCACGACCTGTACCAGCGGCACAGCTCCTGTGACACCAGCCTGTGCCTGTGCCCGATAGGATGGGACTATTCCGAGAACACGGGGTGAGTGTGCTCTGACCCCAAAGCCATGGCGACCTGGCGCCTTCATCCCCTCCTTCCAGCTGGGATGGAGGCTGGCCAGGATGCTGAGCTCAGCACGGCACAAGCTGTGCGCTGGTAGCTCAGTGCCAGCCAGCGCACTGGGAGTGGCACGCACCACCCCACGGCTGGCATCCCACAGCCCTGGGACCCCCGGTGACCGTGCGGCTCTGCCTTCTGTCGCTCCCACAGGCCCTGGAGGATGCTGCTCTGCAGCTCCTGCGGTTCCTGCGGCACCCACCAGCACTGCTCTGCCATCGCAGAGGACGCTGAATCGTGGGAGTGCAGCGGCTGCAGTGGTGAGGGCACCGGTAAGAAAAGCAGCACGGGGACGTGGTCCCCATAGACACGTGGCCCTATGTCCTCGGGAGATGTCCTCCCCGTTGGAGCCACGACGGGCACAGAGATGTGCACTGCGCTCATCTCCGCGCACCTTACAGCCCCTTCAGTGTCAGCCGCGGCGCAGTGATCCCCGCACAGCACCCAGCTCCGGGCACCACGGCTGCAGCACAAGGAGCTGCGACGCTCCTTGGGCACCCCGACGCTCAGCTGCCTGCACAGCCCACGGAAGCCCCTCAGCCACTCCACCTTGCCAGCCTCTGAACAACAACAGCCTTGCTGGTTGAAACACCGCAAGAGACTTTGCTGACGTGCCGGAGCACTGCAGGGCACAACATCAACGCTGCCACGACTCTCCTGCCTGCACTTCCCTGCTGTGCTGCTGCTTGCTCTACCAGAGTGAGTGACAGGAGCCCAGCCAAGATGTCATGGACCATCAGCATGGAAGATGACACAGGCTATTGCATGGAACTGAGACAAAGGCTTTTGATAGTCCAAGTCATTTATCTTGGCATCAAAACTCCTGACTTCTTACTGGACTGCTGCATCTGATTGTGACTGCTGCCCAGAGAGGCTGTGGATGCCCCACCCCTGGAGGCATTCAAAACCAGCTTGGATGGAGCCCTGGGCAACCTGGACTGGACCGGACCTGGAGGATGGTGGCCCTGCCTGAGACAGGAGGGTTGGAACTTGATGATCCTTGGTGTCCCTGCCAACCCAAGCCATCCTATGATTCTACCATTCTGTGTGTAAAACTATTCTTCCTTTAATTTATTCTCCTTTTCATTTCAAAATAAATATTTAATTTAACTTAAATAAGTTAAATACAGTAAGTTTCCTGTTGAAGAAGGCAATCCAGTTCAAGTGCTCTGATGCGTCAGTGTTCCTGTGGGCCAAGCCCAGGGGCACAGCACAGAAGGTCAGTTTCCTTGGTTCTGGAAGAGTTGCAGGTATTTCTGCACCCAGGGCTCCTTGGGATTTGCACATACCTCCCTCCCCTTCTTGGTGACCAGGCTGCAGGGTGAAAACCAGCGTTAGGTTCACACAATGCTGGGTCCTGTGGTGGGCAGCACCCACATGTCCACAGCCACACTCTTGTCCCCTCCCAACCACACCCAGAGCTGTGGGATACTGTCCTGGTATCACACTGCAACCACCCCAGCCGTGGTTGGATACTCACACCACTGCCGGAAGGCGGCATGTGCTGCTGGTGATGTAGGCAGAGGTGATGACGTTGCGTGGGATGGGACGTTGAATGTAGGAGATGCAGCAGGTTGTGGTCAGGCCATCTGTGAAGAAAGAGAGCCCTGGTGAGACCCCACAGATGCCCTACCTTTACAAGGATCTCCCATCACACAATCGCCCCCTTATGTCATATCCCCCAAGGACACCCCTAGACGCTCCGTCTCCAAGGCTGAGCCCCAGCACTGGTGGCAGTCCCCCACAGCCCACCATTTACGTCCCATCCAGGGGGATGGGGCTCCCAGGGAGGAACGGCCACCCAGACTGAGGGACACAGTGAGACCCAACTCACCTAGATGGGCCACAGCCGAGGAGCAGAGGGCCAGGAAGAGCAGAGCGGACAGGATGGCTGCGGGGCCCTTCATGGTGCTGCGGGACGTTGGCACGGTGAGCAGGGTTGGAGCTGGGTGGCTGCAGGGCTCTGCACAATGCTCAGCCTCTGCTGTGCTGCCACTTTTATCCCCCAAGCTGCTGGGCGGGCACAGGGTTTCAAGGAATAAAGATGAGTGCATCATACTAAGGAAATTACGTCAGTATCCCCCAATTCTGCTGAGCTGGAGATGGAAAGAGAGCTGCAAAAGGGGAACTGCAGGTCAGATGGTCACCACTTTCATGGAATCATAAAATACAATCACAGAATCATTACGGCTGGAAAACATGTGTAAGGTCATCTTCTCCAGCCACCCACGGGTTCCATTCTGGTTACCACTGCATGGCCAGCACCGGTAGCCCCATGCAAGGCTGCTCTGCTGCCACAGCACCAACACCCACAGACACCATCACCACTGCTGGCAGAAAAGTACAGCCAGAAGGAACATCCGAAGCGAGCCACAGCTTTACCAGAAACATCACTTCTCAGTGTGCTCCACGATAGGGATACAGAGGTGGCTACAAAACAGTGTCTTGTGCAGACTTTAAACTCCTCTTGTGAAGCCACCTTTGTGGGATATCTAGAAAAGGAAAGATGACACAGGAAGGAGGCTGAGGTGACTCAAAGGCACTGGCGATGTCACTTTTGTCCTTTTGGATGTCACAAGCTGCAGCCTCCCGCTGGAAAGATCTCCCTTAAAATATCTGCACGCGTACTCCAAATTA